AGCTAGTGAATAAATTGGGGTCCCCATCCAGTCAAGCTGTTCACTCATCTGTGGGAGGTCGACCGAGGCAGGGAGGAGAATGCAGGAAGAAAACTTTTTGTTTTTTGTAATTAATGCTACAAATATTGTCTATTTCATTCTTTACATCATCTTCATCCTTTTATGAAGGAGTTGTGTTAGGGCATCTGATTTCTAGAGAATGTTTTGCACCAGTTTCTTAGTTTGCAACTGGGGTGGCTCTTGCATAAATGACGCCCTGGGCACTCATCTGACAAAACACATTCTGAAAAAACTTTATTATATAGATCTTCAATTAATTGAAAACACAGCCTTAGGTTAGGAATTGCACTGTATAAAATGTATTAATACAATTAATAAGATATAAACATAATCTTAACTATTATTAACTTGTAAATAATGTCTAAGAAGCAGGTCAGTGTCAAGAAACCAACAGATTAAATGAAGTACCTATTGTTTTCATCACAGTCCTTTTTTTGTTTTGTTTGTTCTCACAAATAAATTGGAAGTTCAATAAATTACAAATATTTTTTTAAAGATATAATGAATGTATAATAATTCAGTCCAGTTTTGAATAGCCAAATACTTTACATTTTTAACCTGCAAGTCAGAGAAAATTCAATAAAGCTCATAATTTAAAAAAAAAAAAATTAAACGGACTACATGTCTGGAATCAGATGCAGTTCAAGCTTTACTCACCTGCAGTGTACCTCCATGTTTTTACATCCGTGAGATTAAATCAGTTCTGTCACCAGCTGGTGTTCCTCATTTTTGCAAAGAGACATATTTTAATTAGAAACAGTTTCATTATGCTGGACTCTAATTGTGCCTTCCACAGCAAATCATCCAAATAACCCAATGTGTGATATTCTTTTATGTTTTTTTTTCTTTGCTTGTTTCCAACCCACGTAATACAGTATCTGTGGAGTTTACACCTTTTTCTCATTTAATGCCACTTGGCAAACTTTATGGTAGATTGGGGACGATGGGAATGCTTTTGTGTGTCTTAATATCTCCTCCTGGACATCTCTGCGAAAGCACGGTTCTTCGTAGTTATTAAAGTTCACAGTCGTGGGTTTTGCTGTTTTCAGCTGCCTCCTCTGCTTCCTCCTTTTTTCAACTTTAATATAACACCAAGTAAAAAGATGCACACAGGAAAACTTCTCTGCTTTATTTGAGAACGAAGGATGGATACGATTTTTCAGTCAACTTTAATTTGAGTAAGACAAAAAATAAAACTGCCAACCTACAGCTCTGTAGAAACAGGAGATGATTTTATCGAACAAAATATTTATTTTAAATGTATCCACATTGGCATAAGAAAGAAAATAAATAAAATTGCTTATTCTGAAATAATTTCTTTGCCTCTTGTTAATCTAACAGTTCAGTCTCTACTGTCAGACAGATTACATCACTGCTTTTTGTCATGGTAGTGGAAATGCTGCCGCATGAAAGGGTTACAGCAAAGTCATCGCTACCAGTGAAGTAGTAGTTACTGTAAATGTGTTTTGATGGAATAATGATGTCAGGAATGATGACCCACGTAGGCGAGGGACGGTGTCTGTGTTCTTGGAAACCTACGTTGCTCCATCTGCTGCTGTTAGGCAACCAGCTGCCAGCCTCCCATCGGCACCACCAGCCGTAGCTACCCTGAATCCATGGCAACTTGCTCCCATCTGTGCGTTTCCTTGGATGACTGACTGACCCACCCTTTTTCTCTTCCCCCATACTTTTTCTCCGTTTCAAAATAAAAATCGAATAATGCCAGAGGGGTTGAATTTATAATCAAGTGCTGAAAATGTATCCTGATCCTCTTCCTGATCTTATTTATAAACATTCAGTTTGTAATTATCCAGTGCTGATTTATGCTGTATAATGTACCTACATTGAACAAAACGTACAGTGCGAGTATAGTGTGGTTCTGGAAGCTCACCCACATAAAACTCCCACACATCTCCTGCGTCCCATGAAGATGCATACTCACTCCAGCACTGATGCATACATTTTACCTGTTTACACACAGACACTGTGATACATTTTTGTCCTTTCCTCTCCAGTCTGGAGTATCAAAATGGGAAAAAGCTCCGCTGTCTGAGAGAACAGCACTCAGTCTCCTGTTGAGAGATTGATCATCGACACTCAGGAACCTCCCATGTTCATCATGACCTCATTTCATATCACTAATATAAAAAAAACATTGTGTTTTGAATTGTAGTATTTTTATTTTTTGTAAGCTGTACCATTATAACACGCAGCCTCAACTGCAACATTTTAGCTATTTGTGACTCAGGATCAAGATGCTTTCAAGACCTGGTGGAAAACACGACATTCTGCAAAGCAGGGCATCTAAGTCAGATTTTTTTGTTAATTCAAAATAAGAAATCAATGCAAAATCTCTCTACAGCTGTCAAATTTAAAAATGTTGTAAATTCAAGTGTTTTTCTGTGGGCCATTATTTGAAAATCTTTGAGCACAGATGTGGATGTGTAAAACTAATGAGCAGCGGGCAGCAAACTTACTCTACTCTTTGAACCTATTCACTGCTGACCAGCATAGAAACGCCATAATCCACCCTACAGTAAGCTTTAATTGTTTGCCTTCAGAATCAATCAAAAAACATACATTAGTAATACTTTTAAAACAAAAATATATTTTTAACTGTATATTTTTCTGTTTTATTCTAAAAGGACAAGATCCTAGTGGAAATGTTATTTCCCCAGATTTGGATGCCTCCCCGAGTTGGTGGTGTCAATTGCACAGAAAGTTAATCAACACCTGACATCCTGGTTCAATGAGCCGATATCTGGGGTTAATGATGAGAATTTGCATTTGCACTAAACACAAGGCCCGCTATTGACAAGTCGATTTGACATTTAATTAGTCAAGAAAACAAGGGGAGTCTGAAAGGGCCAATGTAATTCACAGTAGTAGTCTTTCTGAAAGACAGACACGGCAATCATTATGTGATATCAAGATTATGGATAAGACATAGAAAGCTGCTGCAGCAGAGAAAGAGATGCCAATTGTGAATATGAGATAAGAGCAGGAAATTGCAGAGCAGAGTGAAATTGGTAAAGTGACGTTTAGAAATGGTGTGGAAGAGGATAGAAGATGTGTGAAGCTTCGTGATAAAATAGTTATTGGAGACAAATGGCAGAAGAAGAGAGGGATCTGGGATGTGGCAGGAGGATTCCTCTGTAACACCATCAGTATGACTGAAAGATCCGATTCCGACTTCCCAGATACATTAGATGATTGGACAATGTTTGTTAGAATTGAGCATTAACTTGCTGAATAACTTTAGTAAAAGATGAGTTAAATATAAGTTGTGGATTATTAAAATGAATATTTTGAGTATTCTTGTTTTTAGTATATTTTACCTCTTCCTCTGTCCTCAAAGCATATAAATAAGCATAAAATGTAATGAAAAGTAGGTACAGTTCCAAGGTCATCCAGTGACAGGAGGATAGCTTATAATCCTCCAAACACTGGAGTTCTGATGTTATATCTTTCTTATTCTAATCCAGTAGAAGAATTCAAATATAACATTATTCATAAAACAAAATAACATGAAGGGTTACATTAGCAAAAAGTATGAGGTCTGTTTGGTAATTTGCAAATTACAAAGTATTTCTCCACAAATTGGTCACAGAATTTACATGAGCTGTGCTTTAGGCAGGAAATGTATAGATTGCGCCCAAAGTTTCCCACCACTGCATTCGAAGTAAGCAACAGCATGATTGGTTATGACATAATTAGGACAGTGCTCTGTGAAAGCTCTCCCTCTTCTAGAGGTTCAGATTATTTTTCTAAACAGAAGGGGGCAGAAAAAGAGAAATATCCAGTGGACAATCCTCATATAATCAGCTTCATTATCTAAGACCAGACTTTTTAGGATTTCTAAAGGGGAAAATTATTGCAAATTATCATAGCATTCAGTAAATAAAAGACAAGACTAATTTCTTTATTCCAAACTCTGGCACATTTAACATTCATCTGAAAACTAAGCAACAAACTGAAAATAACACTCCGTTGATTAATTTCAGATCTGATTATCTCCAGAAAACCAGAACAGGGTGGACTCTGATCTTATTCCTTTGATTGTGGGAAGCGTTATAACTGAAGTATAGATTTTGTTCTGTTGGAGAAAAACTAGAAGTTTGCCCACTTGGGACTGAATGAAACAGTTCTGAGACTTTACCCTCTTATTTTTACAGATCACCTGTGAAAACAGCAAAGAGAAACTCAACACTGAAAGTATTTCCTTGATGCTTGATTAAGTGTTGTGCAGATATCCTCACCGCATTGCGTTTCTTGAGAGCAATGTAACATTCACACATTTCTATATGTAATGCAGCAGCTTTTACGTAGACTCACTACATCTTACTCTGTACTGTACTGGAACTGGGGATAGAAAGAATATATTTATGCTGCAGAAGCGTCATAAATATTGGATGTGGCCCCTGCCTGCCCGCCTGCTTCGCCGTCCCTCTTATTGCTTGAATGCGTGCTGAAAGAGGTGAGTGCTGCTTGTCTGACTCGCTCACTTTCAGTTACATAATGCCTGACTTCACCCACTGCAGTGAGGCAAGAGTTGGGATTCCCTCCTGCAAAAGCAACCTGGATGTGGGGAGAAGGGAGGAGAGAGCGTGAAAGAGGGGGGTGGGAGTGGAGAGCACCATGCAGCATGAAGACAAAGTGGGTGTTCAATGGGCCAGATACATTCAGGTTGCAGATGACATAGATATGATTGTACATGTATCTGAAAAGATAAAAGCAAAGGCAGAAACAGCAAGGTGGATCAGTCTGTTGCAAGTCTGACATCTATGCAAATGAATGTGATTCAAATTGCTAGAAACACCACAGTGTGTTGGACCGCAACGTCGTTTCCCTGTGGCAGTGGAAACATAAGACATTGACTTGGCTTAGAGATATTTGAAGGTGCTGTTCAGCAAATTTAGCTGGAAAAGAGAACCGCAGGGTCACAGAAGCAGCGTTTTTATTTTTCAACATGTGAGGCTGTTACATAACACCCCATGCTGTTTCTTGGACTTTTTTTCAAGCATAAGTAAACCAAAATGATTTAAATCTAAGCAAGAGAAGAGAAATCTGATGTAGATGTGCATTGTGAAACTGCCCCATCAGCCACAATGGCCTTAACCCCACCCACTCTTCAAGGATTAACTATGTGTTCTTACAAAGTGGATAATATAATAATAATACCTTCTACTTCACCTGAGGAGGATTTGGATCATTACCAAATATGAAAATTTGGGCCAATATCAATATCGGTATTGCTGCTCAATAATGGGAAATATTTAATATTTGCCAGCATTGCTAATGTTTTTCCATCTTTCACTACCCTTTTGACACCTTGAAAAACAACAACCACCACCACCCTGCTTCATTTGATTTTCCCACAGCCCTGCATTGCATTACTATCACATGACTAAACAAATACCAAAACCTCCCCAACATCCTCCAGAAGCAAATGGCAACAAGATGGAAATAAATATAGATTGTTCTGATTTGAGGAGACTTTGGTCCATGTTTGTAATTTCTTGGAAGTATTTGCTGACCGGTTCTCTACTACATCTAGTGCAGGTATGCAAATGAAAAGTGAGGCATCATCAAAAGATGCTTCCCTACCAGCCAGCTTGAGTTCAATCACTATAGACTGAAAATATATGTAGAGTTCTGATGTAAATCTGTTAACTCAGAATTTTTAAAGTACCGCAAAACAACACACAAATGTTCACCATCGCTACAGTCGTCTGCAGTAGTATTGTGTCACAACCCCACAGTTTTAGTTTTACTTAACAGGGATACATATTTTGTCCCAACCTGAGTTCCTAGGACAGCCTAGCTTAAGTCTAACTTGGCTTGAGAAAGATATCATAATGTTTTCTGTGCAAAGTGTGCAGAACCCAATATAGTCTCAACACTTTACTGTAAAGGGCTTAAGAAAGAAAAAAATTGTTATGGAAAACCCAGTGTATCTATAAAATCATGTTTATGCAAAATGTGTTTAACAATGAGAGACCATTGAATTATTCTGTCAAAGATAAATTATAAAATTGACTTGATGAAGAGCATCCCTAATGACTGCACACAGCTAAAGTAAGCACAGAATTGTCCTTTTTTAGGAGGAGGGTTCATTGCATTAAGGGATTATTCCTTTTGTTTAGAGTAAAAATGGCCATCTGCCTTTCCTTGTTACAAACTGATTGCTTTTTTGTTGCTCAGACCTCCTGTTCACATTTGTGTTGATATGTCTACAGATAATTATGTGTTCAGTTTAATTGTTCAGTGTGCAGTTACATAATCTTTGACATAACAATGACCTCTGTGCAAAACCACCAGTGAATCTTTTGTAAGAGATAAACCACTCAAAGGTCCAGATGTTCACAGATGTTAAAATTGGAACGTCATTACTGGAATTTCGCTGAAAGTTGCTGAAACCGGATAAAAGGTTTGTCCGGTGATAATGGATTTTCACCAGCTTTTGTGCAATTCGTGATAACATGCAGTCCAAATCTGTTATCTAACACACATAAAAGACACTGTGCCAGACGCGACTAGATGCACATATGGCTTTATGCTTGTAAAAAGGGTGAAATGAAAAAAAAAAAATTAAATCAGCAAATGCACTTTTCTCTCTTGGGAGTTAATACAGCACTTTCAGTCCCTTTTTATCTGATTTTTAAGGAGTGGGACTGACTAAACCTGGAAATTATCCATCTGTCTACTAACTTGCAAATTTGTTGACACATCAATAAATGCATGAGTAGTTGCACTTAGGAAGTAAAATGGAAAGAAACTATTTTTTAAATATATCTTGCCATACATTTTGCTGGTTATGGAGTAACCAGCAAATATTGAATCTGCTCTACTCAGAAATTGTCAGTTTGGAGAAGTCTAAATAAACTGGACACTCAATAATGTCTCCGTTTCTGCAAGGTCAAAAATGGTTCTGCTTTAAACTCTTATAAAAAGTCGACTACATCAGAGGCCGACGAATAAAAACGCTCTTTAACAGTGAGACCAGCAGCACTGACGTTTGAAGCCATTTGCAGTGGATGTTATCAGCATGCACTCTCTGAGCACTGTGTCTTCCACGTCTTTTCTGCCTATCCCTGTTGCTTTGATGCGCTGGTTGCTCTGATAAGCAGAGGTGTGAGACTCTTCCTGCTCTGGGTAATCTGTTCATAATGAAGCTGGTGTTTTCTTCTGTTCCAGCTGGAGGCACATGGCGACATTGATGGACGAGAGGTTGTGAGAGGGACAAATAGCAGCCAACTTCATTCGGATTCGCTGCTCTCAGGGGGCGCCGGGGTGTTGGGAGAACTGAGAGACCCAAACGTCGGAGGTTAGCAGTGCATTTCATTTAATTTCATCAGTTTCTCAAACCTGACAACTTATTTTCCTTTCACAAAATGAAAGAAGAAACTGGTTTTACAAAATAGCTGTTTTCTGTTTAGGTGACATCACCACAGCTCTATCAGACTTATGTTTAAGCCTGTCACGGTCTCCACTTTATTTGCTTTGAACATATATCTCTGTACTATAGTAGAAGCTTTGTGTTAGAGCAGATCACTTAATGAAAACACAATTTTTCTTATTACCATCATATGTAAATACCAAGTGAATCTGTAGAGTAAATGACAACTTAATTTTTCCAAACCAACATGCAACTGAAAAGAATGAGCAAAAAGCTGTGGAGAAGCGAGTGAGAACCAGACAAACCCCTCTCGGGAGTTAGCTGAAGGCGCCAGGCTGTCAAATAAATTCAATGCCCTCTCGCTCCTCTTTGTGGCTTTAAAAACAATATTTCTGTGAGGCTGCACTTTACTCCTTTTAATGTGCAAATACAAAAAGCACATTTCTCTCACTTTGTAGCTGGACGGAAGATTTTTTACGGTACGACAAATTACTCTCATGCTGTAAAACCAAATAAAGGTTAAACACAATTGATCAAGCTGATGAAATATTACATAAAAAAATCAAATTTATTTTCGCATTCAAATGTAATTAAGTACTTTTATGAAATTACAGGGAAAAATGATGATGGACGTCCTCAATATTATTTCAGCTAGTTTTATATTTGGATGTAGATATTGGGATACAAGATAAGATGATCACATTTGCATACAGTAGATGTATTATCCCTATAAACAATTTGAGGAAAACCCAGATGACAGCTTTTGATAACATAACTGGAGGAATTCCTATGAATGCATTTTAAGGCACCATCTGAAACTGCCTCTTCAAGGCATAAAAAAAAAATTCAAAAGTAATCAACCAAATTATCTACAAGACAACTGTGCACCTCAAAATGTCTGGTTCATCTTTGGGTACGATTCTAGATGGTACCAGTTTGATCTGTTTAAAACAAATGTCCAGCAGTTACACCATTGAAGAATGAAACTTTCATCCCAAAATGGTGTCAATAATTAAGGACGGGAAAAAATGAGACGTGGACATTGAAGCAAAAAAAAAAAACATTTTTTCTTGATGCAGTGACACATCACTGATACACATTTTATGGACTTAAAGAAATGGATTTTTACTAAATGGACTTAATTTACTATCCAGGTGTTACTTACCTCGCCCTCTAACTCCCACCACAAACCTTCACACAAAGAGCAGGAAGACATGCATCAGATAACAGAGGCCGTTGGAGAGATCTCCTCAGCTCCCCGGCTGGGCTGCTTATATAAGGCCTCCCTGGATGCTGATTGGGCCTTGGCTGAAGAGGCTCAATCAGGGGAGATTGACACCAGCTTCCCCCACTACCTGTGAAGAGAACAAAAGAGGGGGAGGGGAAAGAAACAAACAGCCTGGCAGCCATGTAACACAGGCGAAAACTCATTTTAGACATTCCAACATGTGTTGCAAGATAAACATTTTCATGTAACCTAAATATAAGTTTAGCAGCTAACTACCTGTGACATCCAAAAGAGGAGCCAGCAAAAACAACACATTCAGACAGCAGGGAAACCAGATGTGTGTCTTGCGTTACATAGTTCGGTCCACTGTGTTGTTTTCAAAGTCTCAATTTGTCTAGTCTCAATTGGCCCTTGTGTTTACAATATGGATGCCCTGGTGACATGTTTTTGATACATTTCTTATTTCTACATCTGTCTGGATAACATTCTCCTCCATGCTGTTCTGTGTCCATTGGACTCTTTCAACAGCTGAAGACTTTTCTCTGGACAGCCACTACCCATCGTTTGATTTCATCACAAGCCGCAAGCAAAAAGCTGAAAAGGTCTAAAAATCCTGGTGGTAAGGAATCCATCAAAACAACAAAATGCTAGTCCTGAGGCACTTGTCACTCAGCTCTACAATAAGAAAGATAATTGTAGCAACAATCATAGGGAAAAAATGTCACATTTAGAGAACACAAAGCAATGGTAAGAATTGTGATGGAGATGGCAGAGACACAAAGAAACAACGACTGACTGTGTGTGCACAAGAGAAAAGAGGCTGCACAGCCTGTGCTGGCAGCGATAAAGGGTAATGAGTTATTGCATTCACAGGTACACAGTGCTCACATATATCACAGCTCTGTCAGCTCCGTCTGACTCGTGACTGAATGTTTCAGCCTGATCTCACTCAAAATCACAAATCCTGGAGTGCTTGTGTGGCGTTTATGTACGAACATTAGACACATCTTTGATTTGCTCTTTTCGCGTGGCTCCACGAAGACTCATTAGTCTGGCCAAGCGAAGGGCAGGAAAACTGACTGATGAGAGAACGAGGAAGAGAGGCAAAGAGAGAAAAGAATACCATGGAGGAAAAGTGGCTTCTCCTGACATCACCATCTCAGAACAAGGCTGGCAGCCCACACTAATGAATTGGACTGTCCTGTGCTAATGAATGGAGTCTAGAGAGGAGCAGAAGGATATGAAGGGAGTAGTGGGATGTCACACTACATGAACGATGAAGTAACTCATAACAGGGCCTATATTACCGGAGCCTATTAGTTCTCCTGTCTCCACCAGTGGTGGGCGTAATGAGGTTGTCTCGAAAGACCAGACCGATTCTTAAAGATGATAGTTGAAAAAACAATGTTATACTCTGTTTTAGATGCTATTTAATGAAGCAACCCGCCAAACACATCCTCAGACCCAGCAACAATTGTATTTTATTACAACTTAAGGAAAGTTTCAAACTAAGCGGTTCTAAGATCTGTAATGATAATGTAATAAAACATTTCTAACTGGTTTTAACCTCCTACTTTACTGATACTAAATAATGATACTGCAAGAAAATGATCAAACTGTAACATAAAAAACACATTTTTACTTATATTTACACATTTTCTCATTTGCACAGACAAGTTCACCTTTTAAAAAATACTAACAGACATTTTAGATTGATTACAAAGCAGGACAGTACAAGAGGTGCCAAAAGAGCTATTTTTCTGTTTGTGAAATAGTATAATATATCTGCTATTGATATGATGCCATCATTGCAACTTGATTCAGCGGTTTGTCAATTATTACTTGGAAAAAGTACTTTCCTTAAATCAGGGGTCCCCAAACTACGGCCCGCAGGCCAGATCCGGCCCGCCTCCTCATTTGGTCCGGCCCCCTGAA